TACAAAACGTAACTGCAAGTTTAGAAGCAAAAAAAACACCATGCTGTACAACATAAAGTATTGAGAATCAAGTACACATCTTACAAGTTAGACGGACTGTCATAGATAGTACATTACTATAAACATTTTTTATGATCCTAAATATCTCTTGTATCGAGTAGACTAGCTTCATGAAACTATCTGTTTAGATAAATATGGAATGAATCGATCATTTTTATTACAAAACAGTTGATGTTCGAAAGTGTGTAATGTACACCTAAAAATCTGTGAACTTTCGTTGGAGTCTCGAGACCGTGGTACGTTCGTTGTAATCTTTTTTATCGGATAATCGCCTAGTTTAAAATAATTACGTTCCACTTTTTTGATAAATGCTGAAGGTACAGTATCGATGTTTATCTGAACACGTTGACATCTCTTCAACGTTTCAGACTTAATCGACACTAGGTCTTGTTATGCTGGATCCCATTCAAAATCACGAGCGCACGATATTTTTCAGAATTTGGTGGCGTCACCGGTACCTTAGAATCTTGTTATGCTGTGAACATAGAGGAAACGAGAAAAGTGGGTTTTGTACGGTAAACGTAGAAGTTGTTAGTTTGGTTAGTTGTGTTCGGACATGGGTGAGAAACCGCCACGCCAGATACCTCCAGATACAATCAGTATGCTGATTTCTGCCCTGTCTTGGAAACTTGTTGGACCATTACATCATTCAACTAAGATTCTTAATAGCAAAAGTTGAACCTAAGGAAGTTCGAAAATCGAAAAATTCACCCAACCAATTGTCAACTCATAGCTCACGCCACATAGTATAATCCTCGTTAAATCAGAAAGGTTGTTTGTGAAGTTGAATCAGTTTTACTGTAATAGTCGAATTGAACCAATACAACATTCAACTAGGATCTTTAATAGCAAAAGTTGAACCTAAGGATGTTCGAAAATCGAAAAATTCACCCAATCAAATGTGAACTAATCACTCACGTCACAAAGAATAGCACAATCCTTGTTAAGTCGGATAGGTTGTTTGTGAAGTTGAATCAGTTTTACTGTAATAGTCGAATTGGACCAATACAACATTCAACTATTAGTCTTAATAGCAAAAGTTGAACCTAAGGTGTTGGAAAATCGAAAAAATTCACCCAATCAAATGCCAACTCATAGCTCGCGTCACAAAAAATAGTACAATCCTTGTTAAATCGGAAAGACTGTTTGTGAAGCTTAATCAGTTTTACTGTAATAGTCGAATTGAACCAATACAACATTCAACTAGGATCTTTAATAGCAAAAGTTGAATCTAAGGAAGTTCGAAAATCGAAAAATTCACCCAAGCAAATGTGAACTAATAACAAACATCACAAAGAATAGCACAATCCTTGTTAAATCGGAAAGGTTGTTTGTGAAGTTTAATCTATTTTACTGGAATAGCCGAATTAACCACGGGCTCACAGGTCTGTGAAGGTTGATAAGTTCTTCCGAGAGCGCCGACCTTCGATCCTAGCAATAAAAAATCACCCAATAAATCCGAATGGGCTAATTGCCATTCATCGTAACTCGTTGGATCCGCTCCTACGAATTATAAACAGCGATAGAAAGACGGGGAATATCGGGATTAATGCGTGCGCAGTATGGACCGGCATTCCAGTCTTGTTATTTTTAGCGTGTAAGCCAAACATCTCGCTCGGACCTCAGCCAGTAGCCGGGTGTGACTAGTGCTGTTAGCATCTCGGAAAATTTCCAGTGCTCTGAGGGGTTTTTATCCAGTTTTAAAAAAATCAGCACTTTCTTAAAGTGAGTAATTTGGTAACAATTATACACGAAGGATACACCTGGAATAAAAATTGTTTAATCTTGCATTCTTGTTTCATAACTTTGCCACAGAATGTTTAACACACTTTCCTTTATCGAACCAAAAATTTAATAAAAAAGTGATCCCTTTTGCAAGAATAATTCTTCTAATTGCTTGCAATATGTTCTCGTTTGAGCCAAATCATCTTTTATTAATTTTTATAAGTGACATTAAATCCCTTGTATAACACGCTCAGAGACACACCTTAGAATAGATAAGGATAAAAATAATATTTACGCCATTTTATCTACATCGCGAAGCATTTTGAGTATTGACTACTTGAGGTTAAAAACAAAACAAGATTTTCTCTGTCAGAACAGGTAGCATCAGATTAAAAAAAAAAAAAAAATCCGTTAATGGACAAATCAAGAATGTATTTTCCCTTCTATAAATCCGCGGATGCTTAATTATGGTTCAGTTTAATGCTATTTTAATGATTTTGTAAAATGCCACGCTAAACCGGATCTCTTTGTAATAATCCGCAATAATTGAATATAGCGAGGAAAGAATACAGCCGTGGATTTACAGGAAGCTAGGCCAACTTAATCCACTTTGTTAAAATTGTATTACATTTTTCTGCATGAAGCTGCTTAATTATTAAAAGTGCATAACTGATTACGTAGAATAACGAAAACCGGTTCGAACTACCATCCTAAGCCTGGCATACGCGTTAAAAAATATATGATAGCTGGTATAAAATTAAAATTTTCTAACATATACATTTTATAACGTTAATTTCGATAGTTCATTCGTGTAATGATTATGGTTAATAATTTCATAAATTATGTGGCTTCTTGTAACACAATTTGAGAGAAAGAAGCCATCCTGAAACTTCGTCTGCTTTCTTCATCTGCTTTCATTTTATGTCAAGCGAAAAATATTTCTTAATTAAAATTCCAATGTTATACCCTATTATATTAATCCATTTACGTTTAGTGATCTAATTGACCGTATTAATTATTTTTCTAATAATGAAAACCGAAGTTGTCTCAATGGTTTTAAGTCAAAAGTCCAATGTTATAACCTATTTATTATATTAATCCGTTTATGCTTAGTGATCTAATTGACCATATTAATTATTTTAAATAATTATTCTTTTTATATAAGGTCTTGGCTGAGTCGTTTACTTCAAATTAAAGGTCGTTTGCACTGCTGAATTTAGTGGAAAAAAGAGAAAACTTTCAAAAATGTATATTAATGAGTATTTCAATTAATTATACTTTTTATCTAAGGCCTTGTTTGAGATGAAAAAGTTAGTGTCATGAGGGGGATTTGAACCACGATCTTCGGCTCGATATGCCGCTGCTATAACCACTTGAACTATCGTGACTTCGAGCCAAGGGTTCGAATCCCGTTCGTGAAACTAACTTTTTCATCTCAGCCAAGACTATACATAAAAAGAGTTATTAATTGTTATACCCTATGATCATTTCTATATATTTTCTTTCTTATTTATTTTTTTCCCGTTTAACTTTTACTTTTGCGTATGATGTATCAACCTGTGTAAGGTTCTTAAGAGTTATTTTTGATCAATAATAATTTTAACGTTTTTTTATATATATTTTATTTAATAATTTAGTCTAGAAAAGAATGGATCGTTGGATTTCTAGGATTAACGGCTTTAGAAGTCCTTGTCTTCTTAGAAACAGAAAGTCCCCGAGCCGGATACCAGGAGAATGTCCTTCCTGGTTTAAATGAGGTCGTCACCCCTTTAAACATCAAATACCTTGTAAATAAAAATTGGGGCATTTTGTCAATATACAAAAGTGTTAAGAATAGAGAAAAAACTTCATATTCTGACTGGTCTTTTTTTCTTGTATTTTTTCCAATGATCGTCCAATAATGTGCTATGGAGTTCAGTTCATGCACATTTTCTCTCGAGCAATTTTCTAATGTAATTGTCTAATAATTGAAACCGCAGTTGTCTCAATGGTTTTAATTCAAGATCTGTCTGCTATGCTTTCTAATTCTTTGGCTTCCTCCTCTCAGACGTGAAGAAATTCTTATTTCCTGAAATCCTTATTTATTATAATTTCACGCTAGTTTATCATTTCAATCTTCATATTCCAACATGCTCCGAGGTGATGATACGATGGTTTAAAATTGCACACACACAACACACACACACACACACACTCTCCCTCACACACACACACACTTTCTCTCTCTCTCTCTCTCTCTCTCTCACTCTCTCTCTCTCACTCTCTATGTTTTAAATCTAAGAAAGTAAAAAATTACACACACACAACAAATGTAGATCTAGAAGCTGAAAGCTTACTGACTGTCAACACAAAAGTTCCTTATTCACACATACAAAGATGTATGAGGGAGAATAGCACNCACACACACACACACACACACACACACACACACACACACACACACACACACACTTAAATAAAAATTTAATATTTTTTTCAAAAAGCTATAGCTAAGTAAATTGTTACGATTGATAAACTCATTCCTAGCTTGGACTAGAATCTCCTCGGCCACGTCTGTCCGGATGACCCGGACATGGGTTCCCATTTTGGAAGTTTTTTTTTTTTTTTTAAAGCTCTATTATTCTATACCGTAAGTCGCGTTGACCGAAACAACGGTAAATCCACGGTCTGATGAGAAATGGGATTAATCGGACCATATCCTGATTTTGTACTGACCCGTTTCAGAATGTTTTGAAAATTTTTCACCCCAATCGGTACCAATTAAGAAGTGGAAAATGAAGACGATCTTCATCGGAGGGCTGGTGAGATAATTTAACCAAATCGCTCCTCCCTACTGTTACCCAATGGGAAAGTAATCATTTGCAGATTTATTCTTGCTATTGACGTTTATATTAATATCTTTCTATCGGAAATTTTCAAATATCATCAAAATTATTGAGATTTAATTTTTATTTGTGAAATCGTTCCGCCTGTCTATTATTGACTTGTATTGTTTGTTAATAATGACCTTCACTCTACTTTTTATCAGTGTGACTCTTCCCGCTTATACGGGCTTTGTTACGCTCACTGATCAGGAGTTAAACAATAACAAGATAAAAGGGGAAGTATTTGAATACCATCAAAGCAACCATTACACTTCTTTTGTATTTAAAACATAAATATTGTCTTATTTGTGTATACCTTTTGATGAAGACGTTTTTAATTTTGTGTTTCAGGGAGATGGCCGAGGTGGCAAAGAGTGTGGTAAGTGAGCCGGAAAGGACCGAAGAGGAGGTCTCCCTGCAAGAGTTAATTGATTCAGAGCTTGCCCTTAGAGTGCCAACCAAAAATTACTCATTCACAAGAGATTTCCTAACAGCCGAAAGAGAACATTCGGACGCTACCTCTCCTCCTTCGCTTTCCCTTTTAGCTCTTAACCAGCAAAACCTTTCCCTTAACAATAACTCGCCGTCCTCTGAGGAATGGACGACCGTCGAAGAGATCGCCAAAGACATACAAAACGAAGATGAGTCCAACCGCGACAACAACAATCCCGACCAAGTGGAAGAACTCGAGCAGGAGGTCGTCGAAACCCAAGAGGAGGTAGTCGTTGAAAACGAGGAATACACGGAAACGACAGAAAAAACGGACACTACAGAGAATATCGATACCAGTCACAATATATCTTATGGAGATGGCATCTCCGACAGCGACTATGGTGAGGTAAGTCAATCACTGACCACCTACTGACGAATTAGTATACATAAAATCGCAAATCCGAGAACTAGGACGAAATTTATTATATTCTCTTTAGATACACAAATCTTTTATTAATTTGAATTAGCACACACATCTAAGATTACATATTTTAAACATTCTATTATAAATTCGCTTTATGTTCACTTCCTATTGTTTTATGTCGGAAATATTCTATATTTCTTGACAGAATCATATAATGAATGTTATTTAAAGGCAATAGCCATTACCTGTTGATTCCTTTAGGGTTAAAAAGTGAGATTGAGCAGAGTGAGAGTAATAAAACAAGATTGGGTGAAAATAAGACAGATATTGAGTGTAGTGAGAGACAAAGATTGAGTGGTAACAAGAGAGGGAGGTTGAGCGGAGTGTAATAGACAGAGATAGATGGACAAATAAATGACAGTGATTGAGTGACAATAAAAGATATTGAGTTAAAGTAAGTGACAGAAATTGATTTGAGTGATGGACAGAGGTTGAATGACAGTTGTGGAAAGAGACTAAGTTGAGAGTATGATACTTATACTGAGTGAAAGTAAGAGGAAGAGATTGAGTGGAGTGAGAGTGAGGGTGGAAGAGAGAGAGTGAGTGGGAGAGTGAGAGTGAGAAAGGGAGTGTGAGTGAGAGAAACAGCACAAATGAGAATATAAGAAAGTAGGAGGAAAGAAAGAAAGTTGTTGAGTGAAAAGTGAAACAAGGATTAAATCAGGAATAGAGAAAATAAAAGACAGGTATTGGTGAATGTAAGGGACACAAATTGATTGATTGTGTGTGTGTGTGTGTGTGTGTGTGTGTGTGAGAGAGAGAGAGAGAGAGAGAGAGAGAGAGAGAGAGAGACAGAGAGAGAGAGAGAGAGAGGGTGAGTGAGTGAGTGATGGAGAGAGGGATGGAAGTGGTTTTTGCACTTTTTTGCGTTAGATGAACAATGAAACTGTAACAAGTTACTAAACTTTTTGTGGGTGTTTGGTGAGAAAGAATAAGGGCGAGAGGAAGAGAATGAGATATAAATGAGACAGAAAAAGAGTGGTAAGTGAGAAAGAGACTGAATAAACGGGGTGAATGGTGAAAGTGAGGGAAGGAAAAGTATAAAATGAGAAACACATATATGGAAATTGATAAATAGTAATGAAAAAAGGAAATCAGGTAAGAAAGGGCGACGGTTTTACTAAAGTGAAATGTAAATAAGAAACGAAAAAGAGAGGGTTGATTGAAATTTATATATAGAAAAAGAAATAGAAAGTGGAAGGAGTTATTTTAAAAAAGAGAGTTAGGGAAGCGTTTGAAAACTGAGAATTCAAGAGATTTATGATAAAAATAGAATGAAAAATGGATAAGGATTGAGAACTCTAATAAAGAAATTAGAGGAGGTGTGTGCCTTTCCCAATTCAAAACAATATTTCATTTTTTCAATTATTAAAATTAACATTTTATATCTATTGTAATTGAGGATTTCACAGGGAAAATGTTTAGATTTCGAACTGTAATTCGGAATTTGGGTATAAAATTACATTTTGTTTAAATGGGTGGGATTTGCAGACGATGAACCGCTGAAATGAGACGGGGATAGACGCGAGACGCGAACTTGTTCTTGTAAGAAAAGGCCGTGTCAAACGACCCTGTGACAAAACGCATTGGTCACATTGAGCCGTGCATTTCATCCGAATTGAATTCATTCCTATTGAAATAAAGATGACAGTATTCATGAAACGGCGGGAGCCAACGTCACACTTGGCAAAAATCTCTAACACATCCAAGATTATCAGACCGAGGAAAATTATTTATGCATTTTCTCAATGGAAGAATACAATTAAATTTGAAGGGATTTGTTCAGGGCGACAGTCGCATTTGACAGCATTTATATTAGTACTTTTATACAGGGTGTTCGGCTACTCGTGTTACAAACTTACTAGATTCTAAATTCAAAAAAGCCAAAATTAACTACGGTCCGAATCTCAATAGTTTCGAAGCTATTCTCCTTTTTCTGATTTTTTAGATTTCATGATCTTGCTTCACATAAATGATGGTAAATCTAAAAATAAAAGGTTTTGGACAAATCTGTTGATGCTATTGAAAACTACGTTAAATTTCCAATAAAATGTGATTATTACTGAAGATGTAAACATTAATGAAATAATCATTTTAGTAGCCAGAACTCTGAAAAAAAATTTCAATATCGAAAACTGTACTATGGTGATCCTAAATTACAGAACTTACATTTTTTTCAAAGTTGAAAAACTTACTGTGGTGATTCTAAACTACTATTTCCAAACTTAGAGAACAGCAAATCTGTACCTGATGTATACAGGGTGTTCGGCTACTTTTCTTACAAACTTTGCTAGTAAATTCTACATTCAAAATGGAACCAAAAAATACTAATTAACTACGGTCCGAATCTCAACAGTTTCGAAGCTATTCCCCTTTTTCTGATTTTTTTGATTTCATGATCTTGCTTAACATAAACGATGGTAAATCTAAAAATAAAAGTTTTTGGACCAATCTGTTGATACCACTGAAAACTATGTTAAAAATCCAATAAGATATCATTATTACTGAAGTTGTAAACGTTGGTGAAATAATCATGTTAGTAGCCAGAATTTTGAAAAAAAAAAATTTTCAATGTTGAAAAACTTACTATGGCGATCATAAACTAGAGAACTTCAGAATTTTTTTTTTCAAAGTTAAAAACTTACTATGGTGATTTTAAACTACTATTTCCAAACCTAGAGACCAGCAAATCTGTACCTGATGTATATACGGTGTTCGGCTACTCGTGATAAAACTTTGCCAGTAGATTCTAAATTCAAAATGGACCCAAAAAGTCCTAATTAACTATGGTCCGAATCTCAACAGTTTCAGAGTTATTCCCCTTTTTTCTGATTTTTCAGATTTCACGACTTTATTTCACATAGACGATGATAAATCCAAAAATTAAAAGGTTTTGGACCAGTCCGTCGATACCATTGAAAACTACGTTAAATTTTCAATAAAATGTAATCAATACTAAACTTGTAAACCTTAGAGAAAAAAGCGTTTTAGTAGCGAGAACTTTGAAAATTTTTTTTTTTCAAAGTTGAAAAACTATGGCGATTCTAAACTACTAATTCCAAACCTAGAGACCAGCAAATTTCAGTAAACGTACTCCATTTAATATCCTTTTTAGTGGTGTAACTTTTTTTGTTAATTACTTTTTTCAAAGACGAAGAAATTGATGTAGGAAAAAAACCGCGGTCGACGGATTGATTGGTAAGATGGATAGATTAATAAAGAGTAAAATTAATAATCATTAATAATACAAATTAAAAAACGTAAGGAAGTTTTGAATGAATGCACGAAAAACGTTTGGAATCTTAAAACTCTTTTATCCCGGGGAATAATAATACAATAATCCTTTAATAAAAGTTGAAGTCGTGTTGGTAAATAAGTAAATGTTAGACAAAAATAATATTAGTAGCACTATTTCGGTTTCAAACCCAAATTAAAAACTTTGATCAATTTTTATCAATATTTTTTTTTTCAATTCAAAACCTTAAAAATTCATTTAAAATTTCCTTACGTTTTACATTTTTTTTTTAATTTTCCACCTTACCAATCCGTCAACCACGGTTTTTTCCTTTCCAATAAATTTTTTTTTTCAAAGTTCTCGAAGGCTTACAAGTTTAGTATTGATTACATTTTATTGAAAATTTAACGTAGTTTTCAATGGTATCGACGGACTGGTCCAAAACCTTTTAATTTTTGGATTTATCATCGTCTATGTGAAATAAAGTCGTGAAATATGAAAAATCAGAAAAAAGGGGAATAACTCTGAAACTGTTGAGATTCGGACCATAGTTAATTAGGACTTTTTGGTTCCATTTTGAATTTAGAATCTACTGGGAAAGTTTGTAACACCGTATATGCACCAGGTACAGATTTGCTGGATATAAGAGCTTTTAAATAGAAAGGGGGCACCTGACCTACTGCGATAATGGTCGGAACATAGATGACCAGTTTTGATCAAGCCAACTTATAAATGAGATCCTTAATTTACATTTTTTTATTTAGAACTATTATCTAATGGAGAGAGAAAGCATTTTTAATGGCCGAAGTAGAATGAATTTTTTACTTTTGTGGGAAGATGTATTGTGAATATGAATCCTGGCTAAAACCCATTTCTTGAAAATAATAATAAATAGAGTAAATGTTATAATTTATTCAAAAAATTAATGGATAATAGGGGTCGATTTATCGCTTGGATTTATTTGCGGGTCACCTTCTGAAAGGATTCTCGATCCACCCGGGTAGTTTAATATTAGACAATGTTTGCGAAGAGCGTCTATTTTTGTTGTTCCACATCCGCCATGCTATTCACGTTCTAAGATTACTTGATGAAACCTTTTCTCCACATCGTAGTCACCTTATTGTCGCCTTTCGAAACATTTCTTAGGGGGAAAAAAACGAATCGTTTGCCAATTTTCTGTATTTCCACCGAGCTATTTTCGTAAAGGATGTTTCGCAATCGGGCTCACAAATTTAAAAAAATTAAATTCGGGAAAATTATTGTTGATTTGATGACTGAATTTATAACGTGCTCGGAGCAAACTAAATACAGTTCTAGTTTCTTTCATGCCAGGGATTTTTAATTTTTTTTTTATATCCGCCCTGAACTTGCTGATACCCGGAACGGCTGCTCAGGTTTGTTAACCTGATACCTGAACCTGTTCTAGTTGATAGGCCATGCCCAATGCTGGTTAAGCAATTATGCTTTATTTCCGCTGAATAACAATAATTACTTTCGAGAACCAATTTGGACAAATTTGTTTATTTTACGAGAAATTCCAAACCGCGGGTCGCCAATCTGGGTTAATCGACAGGTTCCTGCCAGTTCTTAACGTCTTGATGACGTTTTAATTGGAATTATGACATTTCATAATCAAAGATCTGCTCGTGTTTGTGAATCCGGAATCGGTCAGTTCGTTGCTGTTAAA